CTACAGGAACTTCTTCAGCCAAAGCAAATACGTGGAGCACTATCAGTTCAGCGACATGCAGAACCAACTCGGTGAGGCATCACAGGCTTTTACACACACGCATACTCAGACACATACACACACATATATCCTGACTGATGATAACTAGACACATGTTTGGTGGTTTTACATCCACATATAAAGCAGGTTTGTTTTGCACCAGAATTGGGCCAGTTAAAGTGAACCAGATCAAAAAGTCCCCTTTGGTTTTGAAAGTACAATGGACACTGCGGTGGACTCTGTACGTGTCATTTATCCTTAGATCAGATGCAATGAGAGAGAAGATAAGATAACACTTTATTGATCTCACAATGAAGACAATACTTTACCATTTGACTTTGTAACGTAATGTATTCATTTCGCTGCTAGATGTACAGTATGTGTATGAATGTATGTTTCTATGTATGTATATTATTTTTGTTTAGAAAATGTCTTTATTTGTATTTGTATGTGCAGTCATACAGGGGTTGTGTTTTTCAGGAATGTGTTTCTTGCACAATATAAATGAATAACAAATTAATGTACAGTAGTAGCATCACTATGAATGTTGTTTCAACCACTGCTGATTTTTACTTGGTGAACTCTTAACAATTATTTTTATGTATATTATTCTAGATGTCAGCTAAAGATGACTGAATATTTTGATTTTTACAGCTGTGCTCCTTATTCCCACTGTCCTGTTACATTCTCGTATCATTGTTTTCTAATTGTTTTAATGCATCACAGTTTCATAGCATCACAGTGAATTGTAATAACAGTAGAATTAGATTATTCAAACATACATGGACTAGTCAAAATGCAAACTAATAATCATGATTATAGCATTGTTTATGAATTATGTTTTAAATGTGGTTCCTTTTGACCCTCACACAGAGCAATAGCTTCTGCAGAAATCTAGCAAAGACAGTTAGTTGTTGTTTTTTTAGCTGTTCCTATAATTATAAAAATATATATACATTTTTGCCCTGGTCTAGGTTTGGACAGAACTAAACTCATAAACCTGGCATATCTTTTGGGGAGTGACTACACTGAGGGCGTGGCTGGTGTGGGATATGTGACCGGAATGGAAATCCTCAACGAGTTTCCTGGACCAGGCCTGGACCCACTCACACAGTTTTAGTGAGTACATTTAAAGAACTGTCTTGTGTCCTGTTCAGCCTATTTTTTACAAATCTCTGCCCAAATAGTAGACACATACATAACCAGGAAGACAATCCCAAATACATTGCTTTATTGAAAACTGTCATTATCTACCTCAATAGTGAATGGTGGTCCGAAGCTCAAGAGAAGAAACGCTTGAGAGAAAACTCCAAAGACACTAAAGTGAAAAAGAAAATCCGAGAACTGAAGCTGCAGACTGGATTCCCAAACCCATCCGTGGCTCAGGCGTATTTACATCCAGCTGTGGAACAATCGGAGAGCGGCTTCAGCTGGGGCCGCCCACAACTCGACATGATCAAAGAATATCCTTACATGCAAAAGCACATGAAAGTATTACAGTAATTGTCTTGTTCTGAGGTTCCTTGACTGTTTGGTTACGTTTTGTTTGAGTCGTTTTGGTTGGAGCAGTCGCAAAACAGAGGAAACTCTCCAGCCTGTGATGAAGCAGCTCGACACGCAGCAGGTAACACGATGCTCTACATTCAATGAACTGGGCAATATCACTCATTTTATATCAAACTATAAGCATAACTGTGTGGCCAGTGTATTAAACTGCAGATACTGTTGTCCGCTGTAGGTAGGGGTTTAAAATTAACTGAAACCAACTAATATCACCATTGAAACTGGCAACCAGAATGAGAAACTGTTGTTAGGTTCCTTCTGCTTTTTGCTTGAGAACCAAAACACCAAATGTGTCCAATGTGTTTCTAGCTAAGTAAACAAATAATACAACTGTTAGAAATAATATGCATAATTCTGCATGTAGCCATTCAAGTTATGTTGCTAACTAACACACAAACAAACCCTGGTGATTACTTTACCCCATAGGTAGTAAATCCGCTGTCTCTTGTTTCCATGTTGATTATGGCTTCTACCTTTTTTCTTTTTCTAAAAGTATAGCAGTTGGCGCCAAATGTACCAAATGTGCTAAAAGAGGAATCCAAAATATTTGAATGACCATCAGATCAGATCAGATCAAATCAAATCGCCTTATTTTGGTATTGCCCAAAATCACAACAGCAGTCATCTCAATGTCACAATTGTTGGTTTCCAAAAGATCATGCAATTATATAACAGATTAGAAAGACAAAACAATACAACAATTAGATCAAAAGTGATGTCAGTAATTTTCTATGTAATTATTTTTTTATAGATTGTATATTATATATGGGGCATTTCAAAGTCCCAAAATGAAACGGTCTCTCCCCAGTCTAGCCTGGTCTTACCACACTATCAAACTCATTTGACCGGAGTTTACGGATGGCTAAGGCCAGGCTATCTCCAGTCCCAACTACAACAGGCATAATTTGCTGGAGGATAATATTTAAACTAATTTAAATTTATTTTGATTGATTTTGACCAACAGGCAGTGCTAGTCTTAAAAAGTAACTGACATTCACCTTAAGCCTAGCATTGCAATGTGTTCCGCACGTTACATCCTGTCAGACTGATATCTTGTTAGCCATGTTTCCAGCTGTTTCTAATTCACAAAATATGCTACTACTATTATTAAATTCAAACTGGTTCAGTATTTGAGGGACTATGTAGGCTCACCAGGTTATTTATTCATAAAGGACATTGTTTTTACTTACAAAGCATACCTTTTATCAATATTGCAGACACAGTTGAGAATTGACTCATTTTTCCGTATGGAGCTCCACGAGAAGCAGGCGATCCGCAGCCAGAGACTCCGCCGCGCTGTGACCTGCATGAAGCGAAAAGAGAAAGACGGTGAAGGAGAGGAGGACGAGGAGGACGAGGAAGAAACCGTCTCTCCTTCCAAATGCAGGAAAAGCAGCACCTCTAGTCCCACTCAGAACCCAGGCAAAAACAAGACGACAATGGCATCTGGAGGAGGGTTTGTAGCCTCACAATCGATCATTGAACCCATCTCTTCCCCTTCAAAAGACAATACCAAAGACGTCAAAAGCCCTGTGAAGGCTAGCAATGAGAAAAGTAATGAGAAAACCAAGACAACACGACCAAAGTGCATTCAAGCTCGGAAAAGTAGTAGTACTAGTAGCAGCTCGGAGGACAGTGATGGCGGAGAGAAAGTTACGATGGTTGTGGCCAAATCTGTGTTCGAAGGAAGTCGAAGAGGACATGAAGGAAAATGTACGAGAGGGAGGGGCAGAGGGACATCCAGAGGTAAAGCCAAAAGTAAGAACAAATAAAGAAGGATCAGATCTGGATCAAGAGCAGAGAAAGTCACTGATAAGCTCCAGCTCCATTGGATCCATTGTTATTAGTCTACAGAAAGATTCTCATAATAATTATACTTCCAGATACAATTACAATGTGTACATATTAGATAGTTTGATTAAGCCACAGGACAGAAATACTGGTAGAACGTTGGATAAAAGGCTGAAGAATGTTTAGCTGACATGGACTCAATATGTGACATTTTTTTCACCTCCTAAAAAATCCATCATAACAAGGGACAAACTAATCCCTTTAGCCTAACAAGCATTTCTTCCGGCTTTATTGAGACTTAATAAGATGTAGTAATTAACTGTAACTATAACCGAACAAAACAATCATGCATTTTCAACTTTTGTATGTGGCTTTCCCTATACACACTTATCAAGGCTTGGGACCAGCAGAAATTCCCACTGGTTTGTCTCCCATTAAGGACTTGTTATCTTTATAAGGATGATCTGAATATTTATATGTGGCATGATTCAACTTTGTAACAAATTCATGTGAATATTTGGGATTGTTTTTAAATGCTTTCAAAGTGAAAAAGTATGTGTGTTTGTCTTTTTATATACCAGCAGCAGAGAAAGGTGCAGGTCCCTAGAGGTCACATGGATTCAGCTGCCAGTAATGGTATGAGGAGACGAAAGACATGCCACTTTGTGCTTGTTTTGTATTTCAAGCATAATTATTAATTAAACATAGAGTATCTAACTTTTTGGTTTGATAAATATTGCTGGCTTGTCCCAACAGAAAGAGTCTTGTAAAAGTAGTCTTATCAGAAAACGTTGAATATTTTATTAATAATAATAATAATGATGCATCGGTTTTATATATTGATTTTTTTGGACACTCAAAGACACTTTAAGCCAAACTGAGTGAAAGTGGTCCACCCTTCACTTCTCTCTAAGCCAAAAATACATGTCAACTACTGGTAGAACCAAATCGTTTTGAGTAATAGGGACGAGTTACATGGTTTTTATTACATGGTTTATTTTATGTGGTTTCAGCTTTAACGCTGGTATATACAGTAATCTCCTGACACCGGACGAAATATTTCCTAAATTAAAGCTGAAGCAGTTTGTGAAACTTTTGCATAAGCTGTTCAAGAAGATGACATTCACTATTGTTGGCGTCCCCTGTCTGATGTGAATGAATTTTAAGTTATATCAAGGTCTGCAAATATGAGGAAACTCAAATTTCACATCCCATCTAATGTTCTAACTGGAAACCAATACAAAAATGCTATATCAGATATTTAATTAAATAAAAAAAAGTATCAGACAAGAGTGCACAAAGATCTATTGACAGGCTGGTAAAGGGGTTTCAGCTGAGTTTCTCCCTGAGCCTCCAACTTTAGCTCCTTTGCCTTGTGTTCAGACAGCTGCCACCTTCACTCACTCTGGACGCATGGAGGGTTCTGTGTGGTGCTGCGAACACCGATTAATATCAGTACAAGTCATTTAAATCATTTAAAAGGCTATTTAAGCTAAACAGACCTCCCAGGAACTGCCAAAACCCAAGGAAGCTTCAGAAGACTAAAAACCTGGCTGAACTTTTCACACTCTTGGCATTCCCCAATGGAGACAGATTTAACTTCAGGCATGGAATTGCAACAGGCCAAGACGACCAATGAGAAGGGTAAGGCATCGCAGTGTTCTACAGTCAGAAGAAAATTAAAGAAATGTTCATGAATGCTGTTTTTCACGTGTTAAGATACAACTTTATTGATCTCACAATAGAGCAGTGTACATGTTACATTTGGCTTCAATAGGATCACTCAAACAGACAGGAAATGTGCAAACATGTCTCAGTCTGACCATCAATCTAGTTATCTATCAGCCAATGTAAATGACAATAATTCCCCCTTTTAGGTGGCAGGATCTTTTCAAAAACGTGTTGAAAAACTTAAGCCCTGAAACGCATGGAGTACACATACACACAGAAAATAATAAACTAAAAAACTAAAATCTGTGAGATTTTTTTTTGTGGGAAGCCAAGTTGTTGTATAGAAAGGTTTCTGGTTTCAAAAGCTAATGTTGCAATTCAATTAATGTGATGCCTAAAGGGTTAACGCAACAAGATTCTCCACAATGTCAATCAATGTATTACAAAAACGAACTTTTGTTTTTAGTTTTTGCACCTGTAGCTATCTCATGTATGAAAGCTAATTGAGAATATTTCAGGTGCTGACTGAACTTTCATAGCACTGAAATGTGTGCATTTTATAGGCCGTGTATACAGTAAAGCTCTTGTGGCGGTGGTACATCCTGACCGCCGCTAACCCTCATTATTAATCCAGGGCTATCCTGACCTTCTCACTGTTACATAAGTCTAGGTTTGTGTGTCACACATCACAGGCTGATAAATGGAGCAGCAAACAGAAGCGTGAGCTCATGCAAAACCAACCGGGATCAAAGTAGAATTATAGGCCAAATTCTGAACCTTTATAGACTGTGGAGATGACAAAGACAGTTATGTTGTGCTTTGGAGGGATTTAAGGCAAGATTCAAGGCTACTGACCGATGACTGATGACAACAGTGTGAAGGGCATGGTTTTAAAAAAGAAATAACAATTAAAAGTCCTTTTTTTTACTTTTGAAAACCTGCTAACTGAAGTACTGATGATGGGTGTGCAACCTTCCTTTGTTTTGAATAATCCCGGTTATAAATAGACAATATCTCTTTTAGTGTCAATAATAATAACAATAATGGTCACACAGGTCTCCAGTCCCAGTACTAACCAGCCTTGTCCTGCACAGCTTCTAAAATCAGAAATAGAACACAAACATTAATAAACATTGCATTTTGTGGCAGGAAGGAAACAACGGTTGAAAAGCTGAATAAAACAATGTCAAAATCACATTTGACCTTCTTTTGTTAATGCCCTTTTGTGTTAATAATGTTGAATATGTATGTGTTAGATTAGGGCAAAACCTCTACAGGCCTTGACATTTCATTCATTAATTCATTCAAATAACCCAATGCATTTACTGCTCTTTTTGTGATCTCCCAGATGTTTCTACAGTTGCACCAAACAGTGAAGATGTGGCCAAAGCTGTTCTAGCTCATGGCTTCCATCCTACGCTCATTGGCTCCGAGGCCTGGGAGGGATACATGTTTTCAGACCAGGAGATCCGCATCAAGGAATCCACAGACTTCTACGGGGCGGTCCTATGGCCTTCAGTGTGTATTGACAGACTATTGATGATGTCAAGAGTGAAGCCTGTGGGTAAAGCTGTTGTTACGTCTGCAGGCGATGGTCATATGTCACTTCTTGGAGGAGAATCGAGACGTCTACAAGTTAGTCGACAAAAACGTGATTGAACTGGGAGCCGGGACTGGACTTGTCACAATAGCGGCCAGTCTTTTAGGTATGGAAAACCAAATATGTTTAAAGAACGGTTTGACTTACTTTCTGGTAGATCTTTGCGAAAACAATAAATCTTTATGGTATCACTGCAGCCTGTATAGCTAAGCGGCCAATGTATGTATTCCTATTGTGATAGATGGGCTGTTGTCTGAGATTATGGACTTAAAGAAACAGGAATCAGGAACTGGACAAACAAGGATAGGATCCAGTGGGAACTCAACCCTTTTCTATTCAGTTAGTGTTCGGGTCAAGAGTTGGTTTTTTTGTTGTTTTTTTTACAGAAATTGGATTTGGAACAGACAAAAGGTAGGGCCCTCAGAGATAGAGGACTTCATAAGACATAGTGGACATTATAAAAGATTGAGGACTTCATGAGGGGAAAAAATGTCCTGTTAAAACTGTTTAAAATGTGTAAATGTAAATGTTGTAAATGCTGTAAAGTCTGAAATGTAGCAAAAATGATGGGAGTTCTTTTGTTTTTTCCACATAGGGGCTAAAGTGACGTCCACAGACCTCCCTGATCTGTTGGGAAATCTCCAATACAATGTAATGCGCAACACCAAGAACCGATGCAAATATATTCCCCTGGTGAGTTTTTATCTAAACAAATCAATGAACCCATGACACTGAAAAGCAGAGACATATATTTCCGAATTTACCACAAATTTAACATACTCGATTCCAGAGTGGCTCTTTTTAGGTCAGTCATTTTTCTCCCTCATTGTAAAAAGATGACATCACACTTGGGATTAAACAATGTTTCATAATGTTCTGCTACTATAACAGCACAGATATAGATAAGTATGGAGTATAGATGTTCGGGATAAACTTGTATGTTATCTCTTTCACTTATTCACAAAGAAAGAGTTTAGAGTTTTGATGTCTTGTAAATATGACGAATAACATTATATAACTTCTTGCTATTGCCTTCTGTAACTTTTCTTCGCAAACTGCTTTCTGGTGGATAATAACTAATAATTTGTTTTATGTTTTTTATGCCCTGTGCTGCTCAAACGAATTTCCCCTGGTGGAATAAATAAAGTAGTCTGAATCTGAATGTGAATCGGTTTTCTTCCAATAATAATAATAATCTATGTGAGTCTACATGTTCCCACAGGTGACGGAGTTGTCCTGGGGCGCACAGGTGAAGGAGCGCTTTCCCCACGACACTCATTACTTTGACTACATCCTCGCGGCGGACGTGGTTTACTGTCACCCGTTCCTGAGTGAGCTGCTGGACACTTTTGATCACCTGTGCAGAGAGAACACTATGATCTTATGGGCCATGCGTTTTCGACTGGATCCGGAGAACAGCTTTGTCGACCGATTTAGGGAACGATTTCATTTAGAGGAAATATACGACCTCCCGACTTTGAGTATTAAGCTGTACCGCGCCTGGAGGAGAGGCCCGAGCACTAATGGACTTTAATTATGAAGGGGAAAATGAACTTTATATTCACATCTTGTCTTTAATACCAATCTACATTGTGTACTTGTTGTTAGTTAGAGGGTTTTAAAACTATTCTGACAAAATAGTTTCAAACACAGAAAACACCACAAAAACAAGTAGGTATATACAAAAAAAAAGTAAAAAAAATGTAGTTGTTATGACGGATCAATGATGACATACTGTGGGAGCTCGTCCACCAGCAGACTTTTAAGATCCAGAGATAGTATTATATATTAAAAACGTATACAAGTCTATTTTATTGTTTACTTTTCACTTATATATTTTTTCTTTTCACAACAACTAACCTCAGTCTCTCAATGTAGAATAGCATTTAGTCTGAATATTTGCAAATGCAACGCAGATTTCTGATTGTAGTTTTTAAAGTCCAACACTTTAAAAAAAAACGTTCAATAAGTTTTGCACAACTCAGTTCTCATGGGAAGATAAGATAAAAACGTAATTCAAATGTTTACATGTATTTGACATTTTTGCCGCGCATCTTTTATTTTTACAATAAAAATGTTGTGTTTTAGTTTACAACTCTGTAAATCTGAGAGTCTGAAATGTATGGGAATTTTGTATTAGGTTATAACTTCATACGTACGCTTTTTTAAGTGTAACTTTCATGACTAAAAACATACTGCAAGTAAGTAATCTTTACTTATATACCGCAAAGGATAAATATATATATATGCATATATATCAGAAAGGAGTTTACAATTGTTATTTTTGGGTACCCGGAGGAAACCTACGCAGACACGGGGAGAACATGCAAACTCCACTCAAAAAGGCTCTGTTCTGACCAGGATTCGACCCCAGGAACTTCTTGCTGAGAAGCGAGAGTGCTATCCACTCAGCCACCGTGCCGCCCACATGGGAGATTGAAAAACACAGAACTTTTGGTCCGAACTATGAACAATCTTTAGATCATTTTCCAAAGCTGTGCAGGCCTGTCTGACTGCAGCTTGTATTCTTATGTCTTAAATGTTGCTCAAAAGTCGTATTTGTTATAGTGCCTCTCATACATTTGACTTTAACATTTTGATTTGAGCTTATGAGACGAAAATGCCGGTACTGCAATTATTATTAATGTATGGGATGGAAAAAGCACAACCAACAGTTTTGGGGTCTTCTACTCATCTGGGGCCGGTAATGGAGCTGCAGTTAAACTTGATATCCAATATATGATCCAAACCATATCCATGTTTGGGATCTATTTCTGGTCATTCTTTGTCTTTGTGCCCAGTGACAGGGGATCAGTCTGGAGGCTCACAGGTCAGAGGAGTTTTATCCAAACTATAAATCAACTCTTATGATGAGATTAGTCACTTTCCAGAAAAGTTCTACTGTGAAATACACACCATACTTCGTGAAGATTCCCAGAGTCAAAATACGACATACGGGTGAGATCATTTTATACCAAGACATTTCTTTCTGGCAAGCTACATGACGCTTCTTTGGACCTTGCGTTTGGATTCTCACTTAACTCCGCATGACTAAAAGATCTGTGCTCTTCTTTTATGCATTGTGAATATTCTAATTTATGTTTGTCTTATTTCATTCAATTCTTGCCTTGCTTTATCTATTTGGTGTCAAATGCATGTCTGTCAAATGTATTAACTGATGCCCCTTTAATTGATCAAATCATCAATCATTATTATTTGTTTTGTGTGTTTTTTTTTAAATGATTTTCTTTTGTCTTATTTGCATCTGTTTTGCTGTATCTGTCCTTGTGAAATCTTGAGGAGCCCCTCGAAAACGAGATGATTCATCTCAAGGGGCTTATCCTCTAAATAAATAAATAAATAAAATAGATAAATTATTTTTGTAAATGTTTTTTTGATAATAAACGCAAACATAAAAGAAAAGCTATTGCCTTTCATTCTTTCTCAATTTCTGATGAAAGATGCAGAAAGCGCCTCTTCAACACTTCTCTGCTCAATGTTCTTGGCATCAACTGAAAACCATCATTTACATAATAATATTTTGTGTAATTTTCATTTATCTAATACTCATATCTTTATCGTATGAAATACATATTGTATTTCATTTAAAATATGCTTAAAGATCAACATTTTTTTCAATAGTTATTTCTCTGTTCCGTGAGTTCTTTTTGTGCAAATTCAAACCTGACTTTCCCAACGAGACAAATAGATATTGCCTCACACTCTCAACTCTCAAATTCTTCAGTAACTTATACCTATCGTTTTTTACCCACTAAAATATTTAATCATCTGGACATTTTAAACATGTTCACATTGAAAACAATTCAAGTATAACTCAGTGTTAGACAAATTATTTTTTGCTCTAGTCAGACAATATTTCTTTTCATGTTTGAGTATTTGACTGTGATAACAAGATTTGCCAAACATCATGCAGAAAACATGACATCATGACTTAAATAGGATAAGAGAATATCCATTTGCCCCTCAGTGGGGAACAGCAAAAACAAAGGAGGACAACAGGCAACAGTAACCTCAACAATGATGAGGGAAATTCTACCGAAAAAACAAAAAATCTTCTTAAAAAACAAAATACCTTAAAATAATTAAAACCTATTATAATATGATGTAATTTTAATGTCAAAAAAGCCACAACATTTTAGTGTGAGCACCAGCCGTGTGTGGAAGGAGCAGCAGGATAAAACTGTTGATAACTTTGATGATTGACTAAGATAAGATAAGATAAGATAAGATAAACCTTTATTAGTCTCACAGTGGAGAAATTTCAGTGTCTAAGCATCAGCATGTGGACCCGAGTGACAGCTCTGTGTTTATACGTTTATATTTATACGACGTGAACCTGTGCGCTGCCACTTCAGGGTCACTGCAGAAATGTGTCCGGTTTAAAGGTTTAACCGAGGTTAGTGTTACAGGATCCCCTCTTTTATTTTAGGGCTTACGTGGGGCCCACCAAAGCCAGTCAGTCTGATCTGGTTTCATTTCTATGGCTGGGAAAGCAACTCAGGTCGTTAAACAACACAATATCATAAAATGTGCTAAAGCCAATGTTGTTTTATTTTTAATTACATGTTCGTCCCAAGAGCCTTGTTTCAGTAACATTTTGTGAAAAGCCCGACCACAACATGCCATGAAAGAGGCCAGAGTTTATGAGGCATGTGAAAACTAGTGATGGAACCGTTTTGAGGGATAGTGAACTATTTACCTGGATTTTTCAACATAGTTGTTTTTTTGTGGTTTCAAAATTATGTACGCTGACTTTAATATATATTTTTCCTTCAGTTTTACAATTAATCTACCTTGTGGTAAAATGTATTAATTAAATAATATACTCAATCGTTCAGAATCACGATTTCGAATCAAAGTTCTTTAATTATATATTAAAAGGCAGTTTACTTGGGCATCTGCAGTAGCCAGCTCACAGTTATGCAAAACCAACAGACACTTTTGTAAACAAGCCAATTAGTTGATATGTGTTTGGAATCGGGTCAAACTGCTCGGCAGCCTTGGAATCCAGGTCAATCAAGCAACGTGCCAGCTAAATAACTAGGGTCACATTCAGCCAAAGGAAATGTAAAAAATGTAAAGTGCTTTGTACGGTCCTGGTCTATGACAAGCGCGATATAAATAAACTTAAAGATTAATTATATCTTATGCTGAGATTATATTACCACTACTCGGTCTAGGAGCGTTTCCATGTCCTGGTAGCGGTAAAAAGGCCCTTTTCTACCAGTACCAGGTACTTAGTGCCTGCTTGGCCCTGGTTCTAACCTAGCTGAGCTAAAGTGATTGAACATCTAGTGATTGGCCAGAGTAATGCTGGAAGCCATGGGTACCAAGGAATTTCAACAGATAATGGTTTGCTGTGGGTAGGTTGCTAGGATATGGTACCAAATACTAAAGTGTAATGGAAACACAACCAGGTAAAGTAGAATTGAGTGGAGTAGAGTATACTGTAGGGCCAAGTAAGGCTGGTTGAAATGGGCTTTGGTCAAATCTCTCTATTATAAGAAATATGGAAGAAAAAAAATTGAAAAAGTTTACAAATGTATAAAAAAACAAAAAAAAACAATACACCAATTAAATAATTGCCATCATATTAAAGGCATAGATCAAAGCCATGCATTATATGATGCATTGCGCATATGAGATTTGATTTTTCTAAAAACATGCAAAGGAGATTGATCCCTCATCTCCAGGCAGCCCAGTCCAAAGTTGAGCTGCTCTGAAAATGTCATGGTGTGGATTTTGTTATTTTGGACTTTAGTTTTATTTTGATATCTGTTTTCTGTGCTTTGGTTTTAGTTTGACTTTGACGTCCTGTTTCCCCTGTCTTGATTGTCTGCCCCGCCCTAATGTGTTTCACCTGTGTCTGTGTCTATTTGTACCCTGTGCTCCTCTCCTCTTGTTGCTGGTCCATTGTATTGTCAACTTCTGTTCCGTCCTGTTCCTGGTTCTGTATTTTGGATTTTGAGTTTAGTTTTCACCTGATCTTTTATTTCATTAAACCATTATTTTGGCATTCCTGCATTTTGAGTCCTCCATCATCTCACCTCGTGACAGAAAATAACAGTCTTGATTTTGTTCTGGGCCGCATGACGAGCTGATTTTTTCAGACATTGAAATTTGCTTACCAGTCAATATTACCATTTTCAGAACTATATAAAAGGTTATACCATAACTTATTGTGAACCATATAGGCCAAGATAAAATCTAATGCATGTTGTTTATCCTGGCAAAATAAGAACAATTTATGAATAGTCTTGCAGGCTTGTTTTGCACAACTTGTAATCCAGTCATGTCTGTATTGCAGGCAGCACAATCATTTTGCTCTTATTTAATCATCAGCAAAAAAAGATATTCATGATAAAAATGGTCTTAGATTAAATGTTAATTGTGTCATAGTTCTAGTCTGGCTTTAGCCATCCGTAAACTCTGGTCAATTATTGTTTCCCTACATATTAGTACAAAATGAAATTTTGTACAACCAGGATAGCTTAGTTCTGTTTTTGTCTTATCCTCATTTAGCACTTGACTTGACCCTGTTTTGCCCTGGGTTGCCCTGGGTTGCCCTGGGTTGCCGCTCTGGAAACCTTAAACCAGTGGTGGAAGAAGTCCATTTTGTTACTTAACTGAATTTACTGAGCAAAAACAGGCTACTCCAGTACAAAAACAATTGCAACAAAAATAAAGGATGGGCTACTTTCAAATCACACAAAAAATGGGGGAGTGTCAGTAACACGTGCAGCAAAGTAGTCTTTATATGCAGCACAATGTGTTTTGTAAATTGCCTATGGTATTCTTATTAATATAACGATTTAAACCATGTGTGCTCTTATTATCAGAAGCTTATATTTGGCGATACCCTCTTCTTTATTTGTAGCATACGTTCTGTATACTTTACCAATATAACGTTACAAGATTATGTGCAATATTTTCAGGATAGTATTACAAATACATTTCCCTTTCTCATATGCTCATGTCTCAACATGTCATAACTTCAATATTTTGGAACAACTCAGAACCCGGATAGAGTCTGAGTCCATGTAATTCCATGCAGCTGTTAATGAAAGAGGTTTATCAGAGCTATTTTCAACCAAACCCATGAAGTTAATTTCTTATAGATTTGTTTTTGTTGATATGAGCCATGTGCGTGCGCACTGCTCATATCTGTGGGGAGGTAAAAATAGCCCCATGCCCTTGTGATGATGTTGAGGGGAGTGACCAGTGGATGCTCAGTATAACCTTGCACCAGGGGGTCTCTCCACTCACTTTTACAGGACCAGACCTGGACACAGATACAAGCACAGGTTTGTCAACTTTTCACTCACGCTGTCCTGAATATGCAGTGATGTTATACAGACATGTGGTTTGTTTGAATTGAATTGGTTGATTTGCACATTTAGGGCTTGACAACAACAAAAACATTTTTTTTTATCTAGTTGTAATAGTGCAGTAGCTGTATCACTATGTTATTATTACTTTCACCACCCCTCAGTAGGAGTCTTCAATGCAAAACATATAAAGATTTTTTTTTAAATGAAGTACTGTATGTATTAAGTAAGTAAATAAGTTAGTGATCTTTATTCATATAGCTTGAATCTACTACTGTACTTTACTTGATGTGAAATGTAAAGAGATTTTCCAATGGAACACAAATTGTTTTTTTTCTATAAAGAAAAGGCTAGACTAGATTTTTTACTTGGGATGAGAAAGAAGGTAACTGTTCTCAAAATAAATGCTGCCTAAATCCAGAGAAGATTTACGAAATTATACTTTTGCTAAGATAGAGCCCGAGTGATGCTGTATTTCCTTTGGGGTCAAATCATGTATTGATATTTTACTGAACAATACATGATACAAAATTTTGTTAAATCAAGGTAAATAAATAATAAAATATTGCGTTTTATAAGCAGTTTTCCATTTGATTAGTTGTTTCACTCTCATACGTTTGAAATATCAATATCATAAATTATAAACCGAGCAATGTAAATGGAAATATCTGTCTATTCACACCCTAGATCATATGGAGCCGCTATTCTCACTCACGGAGGAGGGACATATTTGCCAGCGCAGCAGAGAGGAGGAGGAAGACCAGAGTGAAACACAAGCAGATGATGATGGTAAGTTCTGGCAGCGTAGACAATAACTAATTCTGATACGAGTTAAGTAATAATGAAATGTTTTGGGTAGAGGCCTCTCTCAAAGAATGTGCCCAGAAACAGCCAGGCTCCTGTGCTCCTTCGTTCTTCTACAGAGCGGAAAGAGAGCGGCATCACTTTGTGGGACAGGACATCTACATACAAGAAGCACTGGACTCCTTTGCAGCTGTGACATGGCCTGCGGTGAGATGTGAAATATTTTAAACCAAAACCAAATTTGACCAAAACAATTAATATCAGAAAATCAATAGTGAGAAATAGTGAGGGATTGTAGACAAGCAATGTATCAAGCTTTTCGGAGAATCTACCATGTTCCAACATTGTTCCCCCATCAAAACTCTAACATAAACGATAGAAAACTATCATGTAAATATGTAACTCCGTCCCTTCTGTCTAAAAGCTCCTGTCTCAGTCTAAGATAAGCTAAGATAAGTGAAACCTTTATTAGTGTTGTAATATCATGTAATTGTACCACTATGACATCACACTATGACCAAGTTTTGGCAATTTCTCATGATAAATTCTTTGACGTTCTCCAGAATTACATGTCTGTGTTTGCAACCGGTGATTTTCAAATTTAGAAAAAAAAGTTGTCCCTCTGGTGGTAGCAAAGGGAGTTACAGGCACAATGCATTTTTTAGCCTTCATATAGTTTCGCCGTATATTGTATATTAGTTCACAGTCTAAAAAAATAACTTATGTAAACTTCCTTCTTATAATTTTGAATGGCCGATAAAATATAAAGAACTGAATATTTAAAAAAATATAAAGAACTGAATACTGTTTGAACGCCTAGTGCAGTAGTTTTTGCGCAATCTAATGACAATTCCTACCACCCAACACACTTAAAATAATCTTAATAGATGGATTTGGAGCTATATCTGATATTTTTCTGCTCTGTACTGCTTGTGTTGAGAATAAGCATCAGTCATTACCATTTTAAAATTATATTTTTTGCACCACTTCTTAAACATAATATTAATTTTGCCTTTTCATTTCAATGTCTACTACAACAAAAGACTGCTAATGGCATACAAACACCATTAATATAAGTCTTAAACTTTTATCTACAGCAATGTACCTCTTTCCATTGGGATTATTCAAACAATCTGAAAACAACACAATTTGATACTTCACCTGGTGCTATTTGAAGCTGCTGACATGCATGCATAGGAGAAACCATTAATAGAATCATAAATATTTGACCTCAACTCATGCAACAAGAGAAATATAATGCCCTAAATAAACAAGTCAATACATGGTCTGGACTTGTTGAGCTGTTCTTAGATCTGAATTACCACAATGGAGTTATGCAATGCTTTGATGGAACCATTTGTTTATTCACTGCATTTATTAATTTAAAATGTTTCAATTCTCAGGCACCTGCTCTCTGTGGATACCTGGAACGTCAGAATAAAGAGCTGGACCTTGTGGATAAAGCAGTGCTGGAGATTGGATCTGGGACTGGACTCGTGGCCATTGTGGCAGCTCTTCTTGGTATGAGGCTGATAATATAATGTTTTTAGTAAGGAACAATTTGTAACATTATTGCTAGTGGGTAAAACATTACTGCTAAAACGGTAATTACAGTTACAGACTTAAAATTCAGTCCATTTCAAAGAAGATCCTTTATTAGTCCCACATTGGAGAAATGTCAGTTTGATGAATCCAGGCATGCAACAAACATTACTTCCGCGCTCATTGTAGGCAAAGTGGGTTTAGTGTCTTACCCAAGGACACAACAACAGCAATGGAGTTGTGGAGAAGCTCTCGCGGTGGGTTCGAACCCACGACCTTCAGGCTCAAAGGCCAATGCTCTACCAACTGAGCCACTGTCGCCCAATTTATGCCAATTTCATATCATTTATTCATTTACTTCAAGCATATAAACAGGAATCAATTATTGCAACTTGCATATTATAAAATATACAAACATCCATGCATTTAAGGGCTTTCTTTGTTCACTCTAGTCAAAGCCCAAAAATGGAGTGGGAAGAAGCCAAACTTATGAGCTCGCACCTAATAAATACAGTACCTCCCTCCACCTTATATGGTTGCATTGCTTTTTCATTTCATTCTATGTTAAATAAATCTTTAATGATTATAGGTCCCTGCAGGAAATGTTTACTTGAAAACATCAATACCATATTATTGTAACATCTCCCTAAGATCCGACATTGTAAATATTTGTATCCTTTATGACCGTCAGGGGCTTGGGTGACCGCCACAGACCTCCCGCACACTCTGAGCAACTTGCGAGTGAACCTGTCGAGAAACACAAGAGGGAAATCCCGACACACTCCGCAGGTGGCCGCTTTGCCCTGGGACGGGAACCTGGAGCGCACCTACCCAACCTCCGTTTACCACTACGACTACGTCCTGGCCTCGGACGTAGTCTACCACCACGACTTCCACAAAGAGCTGCTCCACACGATGAAGCACTTCTGTCAACCCGGCACCACGCTTCTATGGGCCAACAAGATCCGAATGGTCCAAGATTCAGACTTTGAGAAAGAGTTCAAAAACACGTTCAGGGCTAAGTTAATATTTGAAGATGCGGATATGAAAATATATATGGCGACGTGCAGACAGGACGGAGAGGAGGAGAAAGATTCGGGGGAGGAAGATAATGTGGAATCCATATTTGAGCGCGATAAAGAAAATAACTTGGAAACGCTTGAATTTGTAGTGGTTCAGGGTGATGCTGCATTGACCTGTGATGGGGTTGAGACAGAGAATGATTGCGATGAAGATAGTAAATCAGCACTGGAGCTTCAGAAAGGAAATGATACAGAAACATGTGAGGGAGAGGCGGAAGGTGTAATAAGTGACACCAGTGAAGAGAGCGAGGAAGAAGATGATAAAAACGATGATACGGGTGAAGAGCCAACCGACAGAAAGAATGACACACAAGGTCAGTCTGTAATTCAACTTTAAATGTGAAACTAATACATGATATAGAGTCAATACATTCAGAGTGACATATGCCAAGACTTTGTTCATTATAATTGTGATTAATATGGCTTATCGTCCCACACGCCTACAGACTTCTCTCCCGGTTGCCTAGGCTACGTGTCTTTCTACCCACACCATAACAGACACGTAATTAAGTTGTTATATAACTAGTTTAAATCTAATAAACATAGGCAAAGCATGTAGCTCCCTTCCTATGTAGACCTTGTGGGGAGCATCAAATAATGCACACTATCACACTATTCTTTAGATATATTGAGTATTTTAGTTTGGCCAAATTTACAGTGGGGACACACTTGGATTGTCCAATGTCCAAAGTCAAAAGAGTCAAATTTTCTGAGCTGTTTTAGTTTGGGGTTTTTCTCAGCTGCGGGTCAATTATCAATATTATAACAAATAAGTCTGTCATTTACATTGAAGTACAGAAGTAAATAGACTTTTGAATAATTTTTCATGTTTCATCTGAACAACACTGGAGCTTTATGTAGCGCAGATTTGACAAAGATATAGATCATCTGATTAGTCTGTACTGTTGAGGAATAAAATCCTTTGGGAAAAAAATTCCCCAATCCTCGAAGGAATTGGTGGAGTATTGTGGTGAGGTATAAAAAGTCTCTATTTTACTTATTTTTGCTCAGAAAGTTGCCACAAGATGGAAGGGAAAAGTGTGTTATTACCACAAAAACCATTGAAGTGCATTCCAATACACTCAATCACTTATTTCAGGAACTGAAGAAGGACACAGCCTGGATGACACCAAACATGTTTTGATCCAATTCAATGATAACAATACGATACAGTCTGACCCGATTTCCTCACTTTAGAATTCATGAACATGTATGAAGTCAGGAAGTGAGAATACACTGCAGAGAAAAGGTTATAAATAAACCATAATTTTACCTTTTATTTACACAGGGAAAAATAAAAATATTGAGTCATTTTGCCAGACAGCAAGTATCCTCAGCAGACTCGGGAAAGACTTGTATCATTACGTGGGGACAGATATAACTATTTATGAGTCCATTGATTCCTATGGAGCTGTGATGTGGCCAGCGGTGAGCACCAAGCATTAAAAGATTTCCTTACGGTGATAGAAACTCCTAACTCCACTATGTTTGTTTTACCTTCAGGCTTTAGCTCTTTGCTCATTCTTGGAAAACAACAGGGAAACAGTGAATCTCGAGGATAAGACCGTTTTGGAACTTGGCTCTGGGACTGGACTAGTGGCCATTGTGACAAGTCTCCTGGGTGAGCCGACATACAAACACACATATGTATTTATAACAGTCAACAAACACACGAGACCAATTGACTGAGGAATAATGGCACACATTAGTAAGCATCTCAATCTTACAGCTATTTGTTGGTCCTCGAGTCAGAAATTAAACAAGAACATACATTTAAAGGAGGGGCACCTAACTTTTTTCTCATTTAAAATCCATGTCTTTTGTACCAGTAGAAAGAGTCATATTTTGCATACAGATACATTGCATTAGCTCCAACAAGCTACGATCTGATGTATTCATAATCACTGCTGTTCAATACTAAACAATGTCCTTTCCGAAAAACAAAAACTTGTAAGAGCCCTGTGAGTCACTATTGACGCTGATTGGTTGAGTGAGGGTGGTCCTCTCTTTTTCACTTCTCTATACAGAAGTTGAGTATCGCTGTGATTATTACATTATATTGTTACATGTTATTCACACGTGGAAAGTAGTTCTTTGCTTTTTTTGATTGATGTCTCGTCAGCGCATCTTGTCAATGATGTACAGAACAATACAATTATTAAAGGAGAGAAACATTTCTGGGAAAACAAAAATGACCTTTCCCTGAGGAGAGTGTGAAAGAGGAGGGGAAAGTACAAAGGCTATTATTGATTCAATAGCAGCGTCTAAGTAATCAATAAAAACGTTTACATTTTGATCCAACATAAGCAGCCAGTCCCATGGGCAGTGGATGTTCAGGCAAACTCTTTAGACAAACAATATTGATTTGCAAGAGAAAGTAGTAGTTCACTCCAATGCTATTATATTTTTCATTTGAATTCATGCAGGGGCCAGAGTGACCGCCACAGACCTGCCAGAGGTCATGGGGAACCTCCGAGCCAACGTGATGCGGAACACCAGGGGAAAGACGAGACACTTACCCCAGATCTGGCCTCTATGCTGGGGCTTCGATGTGGGGCTGATCTACCCCACGTCCCGGTACAAGTTTGATTACGTGGTGGCCGCTGACGTGGTCTATCACCATGACTACCACGACGAGCTGTTGGCCACCATGGTTCACTTCTGCCATCCCAGAACCACCGTCATCTGGGCCAATAAGATCCGGATGGAGATGGACATAACATTCATGGAGAGGTTTAAAAAGGAGTTTCATACAAGGCTGCTGGCGGAAGATGGAGACATGAAAATATTCATGGGGAAATGTAAAATGTGAACACTTTTCTGGCACATTTCTGTTTTTAAAAAGGACTAAAACATATGTTTCACCTCAAAAATGCATTTATATCGGTTAAAAAGAAAAAAACAAAAAAAGATGATGCGCAGTAAGCCCAGAGCTTTAAGAAGAAGAAGGTCCTTTATTCGTCCCACAATGGGGAAATTTCAGTTTGATGTATACACATATAGTAGTACATACATATATACACATCAAGGCATGCAGCGAAACATCATATCCACGCTCCTTATAGGCTAAGTGGGTTAAGTGTCTTGCCCAAGGACACAACGACAGCAGGCATCAGTGGGAGTCGGTGGAAAAGGTCCCGTGGTGGGCTCGAATCCACTTTGGGCCCAAAGACCAATGCTCTACCAACTGAGCTACTGTCGCCCCCACTGAGCTACTGAACGCTAGGCATTCTTCAGGTGGAAACACATGCATGTGAAAAATCCCATCAGATCTCAAGAAACAAAGCAGGACAGGGCCTGGTTAGTGCTGTAATGAGAGACCTCTGAAAACACCAGGTGCCACAGTAGGGCGGCTGCGGCTGTAAAGCACCAAACTGTTTTTTGTTCTTAGACCAGACACTTTTTCCACATCGCCAAGAATTGAGTCTGGTGTGTGTGAATGATAGGTGGTGGTTGGAAGTGGGCTTGTTTCCATCGGTCTGCTCTAGCAGACTCCAGCTGTGGCCACTGCAGTAGTTTACCACCACTGTGGAAAATGTGAAGCATTATCAACGCATCTGGGTCAATATAAACGCTATGAACTAAGATAAGATCAACTTTATTGATCCCTCAAAGGAGAAATTTACAACTACTATGCATTATGATTTGTCATGTAAGCATTTTGTATTTTATATATTTTTTTGCTAAAAATAGAAAAATATCCATCCATCCATCCATCTTCTACCCTTTAATCCATTTCTGGGTCAGGGGGGTGGCAGTCAGAGATGCCACCCAAGTCTCATAGCACCAGCCCCTCACTGACCCTCTGCAGGTGGTGAGTCCACAGGAGGACGGCTGCTCTCTGAGTGTGAGCATAGCCTTGATCTTTCAGTGGGGGCTTTGGGCAAAGTGGGGTTAAGTGTCTTGCCCAAGGACACAACGACAGCAGTCATCAGAGGGAGTCGGTGGAGAAGGTGTCGAGGTGGGAATTGAACCCACAACCTTCAGGCCTGAAGGCCAATGCTCTACCAACTGAGCTACTGTCGCCCCACAAAAAAAATAGATCCACAAAATTGCAATCTATGGTGTCAATTTATTTAACCAAGAAAACAACACTGAGATTTCATATATTTTTTCTGTCATTGTTTTTTATAACACAATTAAATTTTTTTAATGTTTTATTCTACAATCTTTTTTTTTTTAAAAGGAAATTTTTAAAAGGTGCATAGCATTATGAAGTATATGACAATGATAGACACAAAGACACATTTCATTAGTCTACTCATTTATTGTGTTGCTTCATTGTTTTGACGCAAGTTTGAAATCACAAAAAATGGTTTGGAGTGATCACTCCATCGCCCAGGAAATTTCTTCTGGGTATAAAATAATACCATACATACAATTTTATATAAGAACATAAATATTGTAAAATCTTGGCATTTTTACTTTTAAATTCATTTTTTCCTGATACCAGCAAAATTATAGAAATGTAAAACTATAAAAAGGACGGTATAGTTCATGTGAATGTTAAGGCCATTGTAGAAATGGTTGGCAATGGAGCTCAAACACAGCATAAAAACATTAAAAGCGAGTTAGTGAGATGAGGCTTTCCCATAGAAAAGTCAAAAGTGCAGAAAAAAATAAAAGCTGTAAAACAGAAGCACGGCCGCTTTGGACGCCTGGCAAAACATGAGTCTCAGTCTTAGAAAAGATAGTCTCCCAAGAAGAACGAAAGCCCTGCACTTAAAGAGTTGCTGTCTGCACATTCCCAGGAGAATACGTCACAACTTAATGGCCACAAAGACACTTAAATATGTCAACCAAAGCACTTCACTCTACGGTGGTAAACTAAAGACGTGATATATCCATCCATCCATCAATCCATTTCTGGGTCAGGGGGGTGGCAATCAGAGATGCCACCGAAGTCTCATAGCACCAGTCCCTCACTGATCCTCTGCAGGTGGTGAGTCCACAGGAGGACGGCTGCTCTCCGAGTGTGAGCATAGCCTTGATCTTTCAGTGGGGGCTTTTGGGCAAAGTGGGGTTAAGTGTCTTGCCCAAGGACACAACGACAGCAGTCATCAGTGGGAGTCGGTGGAGAAGGTGTAGAGGTGGGAATTGAACCCACGACCTTCAGGCCTGAAGGCCAATGCTCTACCAACTGAGCTACTGTCGCCCCCGTAAGACGTGATATAAACAGTGCCAAAGAATCCTGCATCTGTTTTGCCCGTTGGAATATAATAGCCATAGTCTCTTGAAATCTGTACAGACTTATATTGAATAATTTTGAAATACAAACTGGAGGGTAAGTTGCTTGCATAAAGTTAAGACTTTTGAGCTTGTGAGGCCAATTCTAATAAATGCAGGACATAGAGAAAATGCACCACAACCAGTTAATTTCCCTCTCAATAAATTATAGCACAATTATGCTTCTAATGTTAATATTGGATATAGACTAGAAATGCCCTTTATAGAGAGTATCCAGGATTTCCAATAGTCCACCACCCCCACAGAGAAGACTAGGTCTGCTTTAGTAAAGGCCTCTTAAAAGACTAACTCATTGCCTGCCAGCCTATTTCAGAACAGGTACTCCCATATTGCCAGCAGTTTCTGATGATTTTTATAGATTTTCAAGACCCACAGAATATTGTGTACTATGACTATTTAAAATCCGCAATTCATCAGCAAAAAGAATTTTGTATCTAGCTTGTTTCGTTCCCCTGTAATCCCCAGTCGAGTAGAGGGAAGTTTTACTGAAATCACAAAAAAGCTGAGAGAAAAAAGAGGCACAACAAGTGCATCTAGCCGTTTTCAACCCATCCAGAGAGCGGTGCCGCCACCTGCTGGCTCGATAAAATATGCTCTCAAGCTAATCCCCATACATATTAGATATAATAGACATGTCGGAACATGAAAATAGCAGAAAACGCAATTGCGTCAATGGCGTGACAATGGTGCTGGATATAATGAACAGCCATTCAAAGACAGTCAAACATCAGAATAGATATATTATTGTGTAATAGAGGATTACAAATCTTAAAATAAATGTGTCCAAAATAAAATGCCTTGATTTGAGACGACATGCATATATGCAAAATACATCTATTAGACTATTGCATTTGTATAATTGTACGATATGTGTATGTACAATTTGACACTGTGTACAAGTTGCAGAAAAAATACATTGAATATATTACAACGACATATGGAGGAGAAAAGGCAGCTGCATTTTTTGTTAAAGTGAGGTTTGAGAGAAAATATTTTGGGTGAAGAAAGTTTTGAGTGAGCTCTGCCACTCTCACATATCAAAACTTTAGTAAACCCAGACAGACAGGTACAGTGGGGCAAAAAAGTATTTAGTAAGCCACCAATTGTGCAAGTTCTCCCACTTAAAAAGATGTAATTTTCATCCTAGGTATACCTCAACTATGGGAGACAGAATGAGAAAGAAAATCCATAAAATCACATTGCACGACTACGCTGCCAGGGACTCAAATCCTGCAATGCCAGACGTGTCCCTCTGCTTAAGCCAGCACACGTCCAGGCCCGTCTGGAGTTTGCTAGAGAGCATTAGGATGATCCAGACTCGCCATGGTTGGAGGATAAAGAATGCTGAGTTGCATCCAAAGAACACCATACCTACTGTGACGCATGGGGGTGGAAACGTCATGCTTTGGGGGTGTTTTTCTGCAAAGGGACCAGGGCAACTGATCCGTATAAAGATTTTGAATGAAAACCTCCTGATGGAAGCAAGGAACGTGGCTGGGTCTTTCAGCATGAGAATGATCTGAGACACATGGGCAACGAAAGAGTGCCTCTGTAAAAAGCATTTCAAGGAGTCCTGGAGTGGCCTCGCCCAGGAGTGTGTTGCCCAGCGACAGCCCCAAATCACTGCTCTAGGCATTACTATGATTAAAATTACATCTATAAAAGTGGGAGAACTTGCACAATTGGTGGCTGACTACATTCTTTTTTGCCCCACTGTACAAGGCACCTCAATAGTTGTGTTTTGGATAAAAGTTTGAGCTGAAAATGGCAAACGCATAACTTACACACAGGCCTATTTAAAACAAAAAAAAACAAAAACCGTAGGATTAAAGCTAATCGTAAATACAAGGCATGGTGTCAAAGTTCAAACTGCACCATGTTGTCAATAGGATTACACTGTTGTCGATTGGGCACTGATATCAATACAAAACAGATATATATAATGATATAATGACAGGTAGATCAGAAAGGTCAATGTGCTCATGACACCACAGAAGCAGTGTTTACATTTCTTAGGGATGCACCGATCCAGTTTTTTCATTTTGATGTCTTTGGAAACTTGCTTATACTCGATACGGTGAAGCAACTAAAAAAATTATTTCCCCCCCCCCCCTAATATCAGTTATCAGTTATTACAAAATGGGTCCCATTCATCAGAAAGTAACCGCATTTTCAAACTCAAAATTATGTTTTAAGTATTGCTTATTTTTACATACTTACTTTTGATAATGTATTCCAATGTGGTTTTACTGCAAATGGCAAATGAATAAATCTGAATCTGATCTGAATCCTTCAAACACATTTTCCAATATGGGCAACAATATTCAATACCGGTATTGTATTGGTGCATCCCTGGATTTTCATTACTCTTGAAACGTGAATTATTTCTTGCATTGCTGGCATTTAGGACTGAGACAAGGCAGATATACAATTCCCAATGTGCTACTCAAAACTATCGTCCCATTCTGAAAAACTACAAAAACGTAACTGCATTCCTTGACTTCTAATGTGTTGTGGTTACATGTGAACATTCAGTGTAAACTTTTTGTAGGCAAAAATCAAATAAAAACCCACTTTAAAATCCTGAGGGACTTAGTCTCAGAGAAATGGAGGGCCATGCTGATGGTGTCTGTGGACAATAATGAGTCTAAAAAGGGGTGTAGTCTGCAGGATACAGGACAGGGAGCCAGTTCTCGCTGTAGGTGGCGCAGTGGGTCCAGCTGAGGTTCTTAATAAGCTGTAGGAAGGAGGAAAAAAAATAAAAAAATAGAACACATTACATAGTGGATATACCAGAAATGAGTTCCTATTTATCCCTAGTACAAGTGTGAATTTGAATGTATAAACACATGACCAACTAACAATTATTATCTCAAAAGACAATTGTAATACAATTAGACTTTGTGTTACACTAAACATAGAACAAAAATAAAATATAGATTCCATTTGAAAAACACAACAAAATGTGCATGACCTATTTTTACAGTTTTGGTTCCTTTTCCCAAATCTAAAAAGAGTAGATATCACACACCCAAAAGTTCTTGATGATACATACCTGAATGCAGTTTTTCATGTTTTCTTTGCTGGGCTTCTCCTCACCCATCTTTGTGGCAAATTTCAAGGCTCTACCATACATCTTGTTCGCCAAAGCATGTTTGTATGAAAACATCAAGACCTACAGGGGGTAAAGGGGATCAGCAAACTCATGACTATAATATATGTGGGCTAGTTTAATTGGTTAAAAAAAATAGTTCACAACGCAAGATGATGATGGATGATTTACTCCATTTTGCTACATTTTCAACATAAACTATCCCCGTCAGAACAAGTACCTTGGAGTCCGTGAGCTCAGCCCACTTCTGCAGCTCCCAGAATACGTCAGACAGAGCTTTGGTGATGGCCTGCACTGTGTCATCTGAACTGCTGGGGGTCTGGTCTGCCCCTTCCTCTGCTGGGACCTGTCCTGCGGCTCCGTCCTGAGCAAGAGGCAGAAGCAGCTGATCGGCCAAAGCACAGCCTTTTCTACACAGGGCATCCAACAGGGAGGACTTCTGTTTCTCCATGTCACTGAAACATACACACAAAATGTGTTGTTGGAAGTTGCTGTTTTTTTATACAGGCACAGACGATTGTTGCATGTGATTTAGATGGGAAATTATTACAGCATACTTAAAAGAATAAAATAAAATAAAAATTAAAGCTAGGATACCTCAACTTTCAATCAATCAATTAATCTTTATTTGTGGAGCGCTTTTCCTACATAAGATAACAAAGTGCTTCACAGACCCCATCACATAAGGCATTGAATCATTAAAATCACATAAGGGCATTAAAAACAAACAATAATATCACACAAGGGATTAAGATAATAAGTAACCACAGTGCATTAAAAAAGTGAATACACAATTTGTCAGTTGTATGCACAAGCAAACAGAACATTTCAAGTCGTCGGCCTCACATTTTTTAAGAATACTGTTCCCAATTTTTTCTGAAACGCTTTAGGGAAAACAAGAGGGCCGCCCTCAGCTCTCAGTCCAAAGCGTCATATAGCATCGCTCATGGGCTCTTTCTAACAAATATGCAAAAGATAAAATGTTTCCTGACAAAGAAAACCAATATATATCTATAAAATCTACCTTTTGATGGAGGCAGCATCTGGTCGTGGGTCGGTCTTCATAGTAAGATAAACAGCCAGAGCAGTTTGATCAATGCGTGAGATGACAAGGTCAGCAGCTAAAACAACATCCTTCAGACGTTTTGCTCGCTCCTACAACAAAATCGGACGTTGCGTTTAATTATGCATTGATATAGTATGCATTGTCATCTATAGAAGCTTGAAAAGTTTTGATAGAAAATATTATTTGTTGTGGTGATCTACCTTTTCAGAGTCGAGCTGATGCAGTCTCTGGACGTGCAGTGGAAGGAATTCAGAGTAGTTTTCTACCAGTTCGTCATAAATTGAACTTGTGTCCAGCCTGACAGAAACAGAATGATAGTTATCAAAATGGTCTAACTTTCTATAGATATATTTGATTGTTTTGACATTGTTACTTTGTCATCCACTGAATCTTCATGTCCCTTATGGCTTCAGCAAACTCATCCTTCACATCCTTCTCTTTGTCTGTGTCCTTGTCCTTCTCCCTTCCTCCATTCTTTGTTTTGTTTGGTGCAGGGATGAGGTGGTACACAACTGGCACAATATCCTGTGTGAACACAAAGGATGGACAAGGTGTACTTCATAAATTTACAAGAAAAATGACTATTCCCAAATAATAAGATCATGATTAAGCATATTGCCTTAAAAAGGTAGTAGAAACTCAAAACATAAAGCCTATTTGAACTGCAAAAAGACGAAATGTAGAAATACCCATTTAAGTGATTTATTGACCACCAGCCAATTTAAAAACATACAGTGACTAATATTACGGCTAGGTTTGTGGGGAAATGTTGGAATATATGAAGGCAGCTGCAGATCCCATCTCAAAGTAAGAACAGGCCCTTTCCCGAAGGCAGGAGAGCAGAAGTGCTTCTGTTGTACAATGATCTAACTCATCCAGTACCTTTTTAAACTTTCCTTGTCGTTTTGCAGAGGCCTGCCCCTGGTGGTCAGAATAACACACAGTAAGGGAAAAGACAACAATAACACACTCTGCTTCAGTCAATTCTGAACCACACGCTTTCAACCTGCTCCAACCTGCAGTGCGCACTTTTACATCAAGTCTAAGGGTGCGTTCACACTTGGTTGAAGTGGACTCTGGTGCACTTTGCAATCGGCTTTGTTTGTGGAGATGTGAAAGCACCAAACAAGTGCACCCTGGTCCACTCCGTAGCTTTATGGTCAGGAAGACTGTTGCATTTGCTTCTGAACATTACTCCATCCTCGAGACCCATATGTGTGAACACCCCCTAAGTTCACACACTAGGAAACAGCCATCAACGCCAACAGAATGCAGAAACATTATCAGGCCGCACCAGTCAGACTAAAGGAATGAGTGCCAGTACTTGAACAATACCTGTTATTCAGTAACAGTTGGTGAATGTTCTGAACCAGTTTTCTATAATAGGATTTATGACCAGCAATTGTGGAAAAGGCCCCCAACTTTACAGTTCAGTATTGGAACCCCTTAAAAGAGTATTCAACTGTAGACAAAGTGTTGATCAAACACTACAGTATGAAAATGAGCAAATAGATTTAGCTGTCAACATTATCCATAAAGCAAAAAACCTATTGTAATAAAAGACCAAAAAAAAAGTTTGGTAGGTCAGAAAATCGCACAACTCCCACAGGAAAATAGCAAAGAACAAAATGCAGTAGAAATAAACAATTGTAAGAGTTATTTAATAAAATGCCACTCACTGCTTTCTTTCCATATTCACTTTTGGGAACAACCAGAGATCCTGACAAGTAACATCCAGGGCTTGTTCCTTTGGGAATTCTGCATGAAATCATAAAAGCCAAATATTTAGACCCATTGTTTAAAAAGAGATGCACTTGTACAGTAAAAGCTTGTGGTTTGAAGTCAGAAAAATAATTTAACACAATTTTCACTGCAGACAAACTACATTCAGTTAAAGTGATAGTCTGGAACTCTAAATTAATTACACATTTTAAGAATTGTATGAAATTGACCTCCTGGCCTTAAACGTTGATGTAAAATAAGTCATTTTTGAGTTATAATATTATGGGTAAGTCCCGCCTTCCCTTATCTAGCTAAAAATCCACGATGCGTCCACTTTAACCAATCAAGTGATGCCAAGGGCTGTCAATCATCGCGCTTGTATATAATTTGAATATTATTTTTTTATAATATAATATAATATAATATAATATATAATATATTATATATTATATTATATATATACACAAACATTAGACAGCCCTTAATATTCAAATCTGTAATAGGCATCATCTTTTTTAAATTATATATATATATATAAAATGGTTAGTTCCCAAAGGTTTCGCCTGACGTGTCCAGACGGGTAACAGCTAGGCTTGCTAATTAACTAGAACTCTCTGGAACTACATGGTGAACAAAGAATTCTGAACATCAGCGGGGAGTGACCCAAATATAAACTTAACCTTAATCAATGGAGCATTCTACTGCTACTGTGAGGAACTGTATAATAATTTATGATTCAATATTTTGAATATTTAAATTAATAATCTCTCCTCCGCACGTCTTTGCAAATTGACCTGGCGCGTGCACAGAGAAGTAGGCACAGCTTCAAGACCAATCAGAAAGGAAGGGGTTGGGTCGGTTTTTTTCAAATCATGTACCCCTCTCTTTTTTCTGACAAACACCGGACTATCACTTTAATACTTGTTGGAAATTAGCCAAATGCTAGTCATTTGAAATTCGAACAAAATAACAGTTACCAATTGGATTGGTTTTATTCTTAATTTAATAAATATGTTAAGTATTTTACTTATTATGAAGTTAGCCAAAAATTTTATGCAAATCTGATTTTAAAAGGTCTTTTAAAAGGTTTCTTGCATAGAGGTGATGTCAATTGAAACTGGTGGACCTGTGTTCCTTTCCCTGTGAGTCCGTTTTGATTTCTCCCCTTGTCAATCACTTCTTAGAGACAGGGCTTCTCCAGTTTGATGTCATGTCACGAACTGGTGCAACGTCACAAATTGAACCAAGGCATTATGCTGCCTCTCGAGAATTAAAAGACAAGGATCGCTCTCTAAAACCTTTTGTGGGAATCTATGACAAACTAATTTGGGCATGTGTATGAAGGCAAAATATCACTGTAATGTTTAAAGCATATAAAAGTTGAAAAGCGTAATATAGGACCTTTAAGAGTGACATCAAAGAACGAATGCATATAAAATTCAGGTACTTTTCATGTTTTATCATTTTCAGTATGGATTTAACAAAATGAATATAAACTATTGTTACTAGTCAATAGGAGGAGATATAAACTTTGTACTTGTCATCAGGCAGAGCAGTGACGTAGAAGGGCTGTGTTGCTCCGGGGCTGAGGGTGATAGAGTTGGCTTTCTTCTTGGCCATCAGTGCCGCTCGGTGGGTTTCGTAGATGTCCAGACTGAGTGTGGTGGAGAGGCGATGGGACACAACGAAGGGCAGATCTTTGAGTCGCTCCAGTTCACTGGACTGTTCATGACGCACCTGAAGCCTCACCGTGTAGTCGCCCTTTTCCAGCTTCAAAGAATACTGAGAAAACATGAGAAAAAGTCTGGAACCATTCTTTCTCTCAGATTGTCTTCAACAAGAAACCAAAATGCAAAGGTTTAAAAAAAAAAAAACTAATGTGAGGTGGAGCAGTACCTGGTGTGGATACGCATCTCCAGAGCCCAAAAGTCTCTTGTTCTGATCAAACAGCATCCACAGCTGACTGTCAAACTCAGACTCATACAACAGCTCACACAGCGTGGGGCAGCTCGGGGTCACCTCGCCACTTTTAGGCTAAAGACGAAGAGTTTTGGAAAAATAAAAATCAGTAAATAATAATACAATCCAAATAACATTATTTCATATCAAGCCTCTTTCAAAGTACCTGATGAAAGTTGTACGTAAGAACAATCTCATAGACTTGTCTGTTGTTCGGAAGAACATCCCGGGCTCCTAAGGCTTTGATCTTGGAGGTTATTGGCCTGGAGGGAATAAGTAAATTATGAAACACCACTAGTATGAACAGTTGATGTGTTGAAAAGAGAAAAGCAGGTTATTTAACAATAGGCAAGGCAAGTTTATTTGTATAGCACATTTCATACAAAAGGCTTCTGCTGTACAAAACGAGACAGAAAAAACAAGGCATTCAAATCCTAAATAATCATCATACATAAAAAAACATTACCTGAGAGGCTGCACCCATGACTTAAGGGTGATGGTTGGAGCCACTTCTTCATATCTCAATGGAGAGAAAACTTCAAAACTAGTCACCCCCTCAGAGGCATGCTGAGTATAAATGGAGAAAATGTGTTTGATGTTTTAGAGGATATCAACTGTATGCTGGTTCTTACCAAGTGCAATGGTGAGGGAGATGTGCCGAGGCCATGGAACGAGATGCTGTAGTCCACAGTGACGTCTCCGAGGCTCGCCCACCAGCGCGCGATACACAACTCTACTATTTTACCAGACTAGAACAGAAGACATCACTTTTAATGCCTTCATGACACATTTAAAGAACAACTTTTATTGTGATAGCTACATACCAGGACTGGGAAAGCTTCAGTTAATGACCCTCTTTCTAATAAAGAGGAAAACTTGTAAAATTCATTAGCTCTGTACGCTCGCTGCTTGACAAGATGAACTGCATGAAGAACAAACTTTGAAGATACATCTCCCGAATGAGAGGTCAGCGTGATCTCTAAGAAAAATTGAGAAAAATAACCATATTTTAGTTTATATTAAAATGTCTAAAAAGTCTAAAATTTGTTCTGAAATTTTAAATCATTATTTAAAAACATCCTGAAATATTATCCATTTGTTACTTATGATAATGTTAAATAAAGAAGTCTTAAATATTCCTTGTTTAGAGCTAGAGAGGGCGGGACAAAGTATAGATGGGACAGGTGTGGGGGAATTGGGATAATTAGGGTAACCGACATGGGTTTTGACCGCACGCACGCAACGTTGACAATAAAAGTTATAGAAATGGATCTACGGCTACGTGTTGTGTTTTATGTTGTGAGTCAGAAAGCGGACACTTTCCGCTAATAATGGCTACATTATTGCTTAGAAGCCAACACAACATTTCTTGGTAATAAACCTGGCTGTAAGTGAAAGACTTTGAGAATATAGGATTGCTAAGTCTGTAGTAGTGAGGAAAATTAAGGAACCAATCTGATCTCATAAACTTTTATCATCACTATAAAATAATTTCCCTTTCCTATTCAAAACTTTTTTCTTATCTCTAGCTTATTGCTTTGTGCAGCAAAATAGTGTTTTTTTTACTTTGACAAGATACTGACCAGCCCAGGAGGCTCCCTGAGGTACGGTAATAAAATGGCGTTTGATTTGGCCAGGCCTGAAGTGGACTTCTGTGAAACGCACCTCCTGATTACGACTGTCAGACACCCTGGAGGCAAAAATATAACATCAAAACCTAATAAATAAAATACTCCAGATTAGCATGTCTTTTAAGATCATACTTTGTTGGGATAATGACTGTGATGGGGACTCTAAACAGCGGTCCAGAAGTGGGTGCTGCGGTGTCATAGCCACAGACCTACAGAAATACAACCATTGCATTATTACTGTCACATAATAAATCTAAATATACTGCAGGGATGGCAGGTCATTACCTCAGTGAAGTGCACTCCTTCTCGCAGCCCCACTGGGTCGATGCGGACGTTAACGTGGCGACACTGATTCATTAACTCTAAGTGGGAAGGACACTGGACCCAGGGGGCAGTGCAAGTAAGGGCCAAGTGCAACTGAAGGGAGATGCGCTCCAAATTATCTGAAAGAAAGAATGCCTGTTTAAGAAATTAAAAAAATAATGTAGACGGAAATTAATACACTTTGCACATTACAACGCAAGTACCTGTATTCTCTGGGAAGATGGGTTCTATTCCCACTCCATGATCAGAAGGAGCAAGAACTTGGGACGGATCCCTGAGGTAGATGCCTCGCTGCGAGCCCACCGATATGGAGAAGCCCAGGTGGCTTGTGGCTAATGAGGCATGTTGAGTGAGGTAGTCTAATGCCCTGTCCACCTTTAGAAAATAATGTAATATTTAAATGAAATCAGAATATTAAGGATAATTCTGACCAAAGTTAAAATTCCACGCAAAGAATTAGTGGAATTTGCATCCACTAGAGGTTGTTGAAAGATCACATCTCTGTTTTGTTACAGACAAACATACGTTTTAATTTAGTAGCACTTATAAAAACAGAAATTACCTGAATAATTCCGTGACCCTGTGCAAACATCTCAATGTCGTCCACCTTAATGGCCGTGTTCTCGAGCGCTCTCCTCACAGCTAGTGCTGACGAACTTATCCTGTTCTGCTTCAGACCTTACACAAGAAAATCATTTTGGTTACTTTTAAGGCCACAGAAGTAGTGATTACTGTGACTGGAGGGTTTCCTAATAATAAATAATAACCTAATTCAACTTTTGATAAACTTCCATATTATTTAAAATGCCATCTGCATGTGAGAACCAACAGGGCTAAGCAGGGCAGGGCCTGGTTAGTGCCGTGTTGGAAGACCTCTGGGAACACAAAGTGCCACAATGTGGTGGCTGTAAAGTTCCAAACAGCCGCAGAGTAATTAGGCAAGACACTCCACCCACATTGCCTAGAATGAGTCTGGTGTGTGAGTGAATGGTTGCTAGTGGCCCGAGGGTCCGAAGGGTTAGGCACATTCTGGTTGCCTCCCTTCTGTCAGTGTGTGCAACTGTGACCTCGGTAGTAGCTTCTATATGAGTGAATGAATAATGCCATGTGGACCACCTAAGTGTTCAAATAGCGCTGTATAAAAGTTAGTACCCCCTCACCTGAGAGGACCAGTGCAATGCCTCCACAAGCGTTTGGGGATGACATGGATGTGCCATTCATGAGCTGAGTTCCACGCAGAGTCCAGTTTGGGACTGAGGCGATGGCTCCACCAGGGGCACTGATGCTGACCCCGAGGGCTCCGTCTGTGCTGGGGCCTCTGGACGACCATGTGTACTGGTTTGGAGGCAGCTTCTCTCTCAACGAATACTCAGCAACCATCATGTCAGGGGTCACATAAGCACCAACACCTGAGCAAAAAGATCATGAACACTCTTCTTTTTTGATTTGCAAGAGGTTAAGTCTCTGATTAAGAGACAAGTTCTTACCAATAACACTACTGGTTGTTCCTCCAGGACAGCCAACCGTTGACAGACAAGGACCATTGTTTCCCGCACTTGAAACAAAAATTACATTGTGCTTTTGTACAGCTTCTGAGATCACCTCGCAAATTCTCCTGCAAGAGAAAGAGGAAAATAAGATCATATGAAGTTAAAATTTCTTTTAAAAATATGTCCTTCAATACTGACCCTGAATTAGGCCAGTGGGTGGCTTCTCCATAGCTATAGTTGACTAGATCACATTTATAGTTGATTACTTCAATCATCTACAAAACAGTCAAAACAAAATAAAATATGCATAATGTTCCATGTATGTAGGATTATGATTTTAACGTTCAGGTATGGAGCTTGGTTTATACTCTTGCGACAGGCTGCTCCCATCACAGCACTGCACAGCTCAAACCATTCGAGCCTTTGCGTGGCTCATCAGGCTGCATGTGCTTCGTGGAACTCAAAACAATTACATTTTATTTCATGTATTCACTGACATGAAGGCTCATGTGAAAACACACCTGTGCTTAAGTCGCTATACATAGTGACTTTTGAATGTAGGTGCACATACACAGCAGGTAAAAGGACTTATGCAGAACTCTCTATCAGGCTTCAATGCCTCTTACCGCTCGGATGAGTCCTGTGCCAGTTTCCATTGTGCTAAGGCGAGTGTCACCAATCTTTACTGCAAGGATTTGAGCGCCAGGTGCCACACCGTTACGTTCCGGTTCATCTGGGAAGTAACCTGCTGCAATACTTGCTACATGTGTCCCATGGGCCCCTTCAAAAAACATAAATAATGTGAACTGTTTGTTTTGTTTGTTTAATTTTCTTGAAGTTCTCACCTCCACTTGTGACAATACAAAGTGTATTCCCTTCATCATAAACATTGACCGAGTAGTTGAGCATCTCGGCGTTGCCCAGCGTTGCATAGTCCTGGTTCTCTTTGTAGGATGTCAGAACAGTGCACTGTGCCAGATCCCCAGACTCTGAAGTGTCAACTACAACCCTTTAAACGGCAGAAAATACTACATGTGAAGACACGACAAATGATAATGAACAAACATACATTAATTTCGAGTCCCACCTCCAAGTTGTGCCATCATCCCAAAGCAAACAATCATAGACTGGACCTGGATCGCTGTACTTCTTTTCTAATGTTGCTAGGAGCTCTGATTGACTCTGTAATTCCTCCTTCTGAAGCTTCTCCATCTATGAAAAGGAAACATCCTGAAATAAATACTTGATAAGAATGGGGCTATGTACATGAACCCGACCTGTGACGGTGAGGGATGTGAGAGGTCAAATTCTTCAGTCTTACGAGAGACCTCTGCAAGCGCTGCCCTATGTGCTGGATCCCACTGCTTCTCTTTACGCTCTTTCTAAAAGAGAAACATCGCAACTTATTGCATAACTGTGGAAAATGTCTGTCAAGTGGATTTTAGTGAAAAAACAATGACATTCAAACAATGTGGAAAAATTACAGTATCTCAATTATTTCTCTAAACATTCTTTAAAAAAATACCTAAATGGGGTTATGAGTTGATCATCTGATGACTAATGACTCATTACTGTGGCCTTGTTTACAGTATTGTAGGATTACTGTATATGGTGTCACATGTCACAATCAACCAGGGGTGAAACTGTGTGTCTGGGATCAAGAGTGCTAACAAAATTTGTTTTGCGTCTCATTGTTAACTGTATCTTTGGTTACTGTATCTTTACAACCAATCAGTGGTTGAAGTACAGGGGTAGATGTCTATCATTGAGCTTTTGATTTAAAAACAGATCAATTGTGAATAAATATTATCTTGTCAAATAATTTAATGTGTGAAAAATATAGAAAAGTAGCCAACTTAGGTTTCTGAAATATCGTTTTAGTGGATTCCAATGAAATTATGATTAGTCAGCCCAGTAAATGCACTTTTTATGAGAAATTCAACAGTATCACAGACTAAAACAGCAATAAACTAGACCAGGGGTCGGCAACCCGCGGCTCCTGGAGCCTTTTCAAAAATGTCTGAAAATGGAGTGTGAGGGCTATATTTTATTTCTAGTTTGAATGTGGTTTCTGTAGAAGGAAAAACAATCTTTACGTTTTTAAATGCTGTAAAAATATGTATAAGTAATATTTAATTTCAACATTTCTGTCAACGTAGTGCGTCATATCCTTTGACGCGCGGTCACGCGGCCCCGCCCCATGCGGCCGCTGCTGTAAACAAACCGGCGTGTGTGCATCATAGACTGTAAGTGCACATGGATCCCAAAGCTAAAACGAGAAAGAGTCGATAACAAGACTGGACTAAGAATGAGAATGAACATTTTCTTTCAGTCAATGAGGAAGGACTGCTTCATGTTTGTAATGAAAAGTTTTGTTGCAACACGAGGAACAATGACGCGCAAAACACCGTACACGGTGATTACATGAAGGATTCATTCATCAAAAATTCAGAGCACCTATTTTCAGACTTCAAAACCTTCTCAAAGACGGTGAAAGAAAAGGCCATTAAGGATTTTAATTCAGCTCCAGCAAACTTCAGCCTGTGACGTGATGGATATGAGCAGACAGTGATGCAGGTGTGTGACCTCTGAGCCTAAAGCAGATTGATTTACTGTATTTCTACAATTGCATGAAGGCAAAAAAATGGAAGTTAAACTAAAGCAGAGTTGTCCCGTGTTGCGTCATTCACGACACGCGTGGTGCGACACGCTGCAGTGAAAATACACATTTGATAATCATGAATGATTATTATGTATTTGTAGCCTTTACTTTGTCATTTAGATATTAGGCTAATATAGCTAATACATCTTGCAGCCTGTGTTAACAGCCTTGTATAAGGCTTTTATGAAGTTATTTTTTTGCGGCTCCAGACAGATGTTGTTTTTAGTTATTTTTGTCAATTATGGCTCTTTGAAAATTTTGGGTTCCCGACCCCTGAACTAGACCTACATACATTATAAACTTTAATTAGATTATGTAATAATAGCAGTCTACTGTACCTGTATTCTTTCTTTCAGGGCCTTAGGGAAGAACTCATAGCCATTTTTAACTCCAATGTGGTATTTCCCAGTTGGATTGACCCAGACAGGAGGAATCTACAATTCATAACAGGCAGCTGTAAACCATTCTTCAGATGTAACAGTTTTAAAAAAGAAGCATTTATTAACAAATACAGGAACACGGCGATATAACACTATAATATGTATTGTGTTTTGTACCTTGAGTGTCCTTCCAGAAAGGCCAGTGATTGTCCCATCGTTAGGCTCAGCTACTGTGCTCATGTTTACATCCCCGCTGCCTGTCGTGTCGATGATATCGATGATCTTTGGCTTTCCCTCGGTGGTGACCTGCAAAGTATCAGTGGAGGTGTAATATAACAGGCTGACAATCCGAGCTTGCATGTAGCTGGTACCATCTACTTAAATTCTAACAGCTGCCAGCCTCTGTTTAACCTTACAGTCAGGAGGGTCAAACTCTCTCTACATCTTTGAACAATAATCATATATAATATTAAAATTATTATTATGAATAAATATTTATATTTACCAAACTACTTGGTAACAACATGCTTTTGCCATCTGCCAAGGAAACACTTAACTCAGAAGTAAAACAGAATATAAGTGCTGTAGGTTTTTCTCCGTGATAATGTGACAATATTATTGGAATACAACATCCTCGTAGTTCTGAGCTTTCACTCAAAAATCCTGAATAAATCTGCAATGCTTCACAGGCGTTGTCATACTTAAATGATGTGTTAAATGTGTACTTTATTGAACTTACATGTAGCGACATGCTAATAGAGCTCAGGCTAAACGAATAGGTAACAGTTACAAATAACATGAATGAGTCAGGCCTTTAGCTTAGCATGCTAACTAGCATTGGCTAACTAAAGCTAACTACCGTGAGGGAGCCGGTCAGATTTACCTGCATCCCGGGGGCCCCAGGGTCCACACCGGTGTCGAGGATGGCGATAAGCACTCCTCTCCCATCGTACTCGGGGAACCGGGAGAGATAAGACGCGGCTCCCGTCTCTTTTTTAGGCAGTAGCCCATGGAAGGGGAAGGGCTCTTCAGCAGCAGAGTGAGCAGCCATGACCGCAGAGCTTCAATGAAAACAAAGCCACGAAGAGGAAGAGGAGGCAGGAGGAAGATTAAAGGGCCAGAGGCAGAGGTGGGCAATGGACTTGACAAATGCAAGCGTGATATCATTATTCAATTACATATTGAATAATGATATAATATATATATGCATATATCTATATAGTATATGATTAACTTAAATCTCTAAAGCTCACACAAGACTATTGTTATTGACAATAATGCCTCTCGAATTTTCCACAAAACAAAAAACCGTGGTTGTAAAATAATGGTTTTTAATATTAGATATCGCTCTGTTTGAGGCCAAATGCAATTAGAGCCAACTTTAGGTTGTTTAAATATGTTCCCCAAATTCCCAGCAGATGGAGCTGCAATACTTATAATTGTTTTTCAATATATCCAGTCAGTCACTTGACTCCTGTCTTCATTCAGAAATATTTGACAGATCACAAATGATTGACTGAGGACACCAGTTTTTTTACCTGTTTTAGAAAACGTTTTCTACAAGCCTGACTTGGGGTTTATTTGGCCCTTCTTGTACAGGATTACCTTTGCACATATGAATTATCAATGTGAGTTCTATATTTTAGAATAAAAATATACAATATGAGCATTGGGTGGCAGCTCTCAAACTCCACTCAGAAAGGCCCTGGTCCAGCCGGGATTCGAACCCAGGACCTTCTTGCTGAGAGGCGAGAGTGCTATCCACTCAGCCACCGTGCCGCTCACAATAACTGAACCAGATGAGGTTCAGTTATTTGCACAGTTATTTCTGCCACATGAAATAAATCTTACTTTGTTTGTTATTTTATTGTTCATAATAATTAGGATTTGAACTCTCATGTAGGCTGTTGTTGCTGTGTTACATATGAGGTTGTGGTTTACCACAGGGCGTAGCCCACAACGCTGAAGTGAAAACTTCAACTACTTGAAATCGTTTTCATGGCATCTAAAGGTTTCAGTTCGACAGTTGGGCTGAGCTGTACAATGGGCTCTACTGTGCAAATAACTGAAGCTCATCTCTCAAAGACATGGAATGATAACACAATAAAATGCATTCCACCATGGTCTGGAAAAGGGAGGTGACAGGGGACTCGAACCCATCCATCCTCGCCCTTGAGCAAATTAGATTAAGTACATTCTTATACAAAAATATAAAACTCACATTGATTATGCTATAATAATGGCAATCCGCAATCGATGGTGATAGAAACGATGCAACCCTGCGACCACTACCATCACTCACTCACCATATTCATACTGTTCCATGTTTTTGGTGATCATGGAAACTGGAGCACCTGGAGGGAACCCAACTATGGGGAGAAATATGCAAACTATATAGAAACGTCTGGGTTGGGGCCATCTGTTTCAAAAGATGTAAACTGACTTTAGTGAGTGCTGGATATATCACTTGTTTGGTGGTTTTACTAAAAAAGTGTACCAGAATTGGTCCAGTTAAAGTGAACCAGACTATCATGTGCCCTCAGACCTGGATTAAATTAGAGCTGTTCTAAAGCAGTGACAGGTAATCCCTGCCTGTACTTGAGCTACAGTATTTGTACCAGCTCTCTATCTCACATGTTTCCAACAAAGCTCTTCATTCTCATCCCGACCACCCTGGACAAATTTTGTTGTCAGACATGTAAAAATAAAACTTGTAGAACACTTTGTCAGTTCAACAAATCTTTGACAAAGGGCAATGTCAAACTGTATCCTAAAAAGGCAGCTGACCTAATATGTTTAAAACTGGATTCAATCATCACACCACCACTTACTGTAAAAGCATACATACTCAATAATATATACATTTACAGAGTTGACTTGCCTAAGTCAACTCTGTATCCATTACCAAAGAAGCCTACACACTTGGTGAACCGAGGTCACCCATCACATCAGTGTGATCTTAGTTATTAGGCCCGAGCCCCAACCGGGGTAAGGGCCTATTGCTTTTCCAACGAGTAATGCCTGGGCGAAGCCCAGGCATTACTTGTTGAACTGTCATAAGTCACAATCTCCGGGCGCAGCCCGGAGATTGTGACCTGCACGCGACGGCACGTGCCCAAGCACTGATAAATCCGTGCCGGAGGCACGGAATGGCTTTGTTCCTGCTCTAGTACACAGTGAAATGATTGAAGTCCTATTAAAGGGGGGTTCCTTCAACTGTTTTACGGACGAATGTCCGGGCGAAGCCCGGACATTTGTCCCCCAAGCCCGACGGCGCGTGCCCAGACACTGACAAAACAGTGCCGGAGGCACTGAATGGCTTTGCTCCTGCTGTAGTACACAGTGTAATGAATGGGGTCCTATGGGGGGGGGTGGGTGACCTCATGATGGCGAGGTGATTGACGAGCGCGTCAGCGCTCGTCAATCACCGAGAACCCAATAGTTGCGTTCGTCTGGTCGTTCGCTTTAAAACGACGTATCATTTGTATTATAGGTTACTATGGAAACCTATATTGTTTTTGCTCGAAGAATTAAAAAAAAAAAATTCCTTATTTATTATTTCTTTTTTCTTCTGCACTTTGAACCTTAATTTGACCCCCTGAACATTGATGAAAAGTTGTGAAATTTTGCCCAAAATTCAGAACCGGTGAAAAATTAATTTTTTTGGTGTTTATTTTTATGGGACTAAAAAAATGTCAGAATAGCGCCCCCTACAAAAGTCAGTTTACATTGCGCCTATGGGAGGGGGTCGAAGGTCAAGTTTGTCGTAGAGCCACGAAATTCGGTACACATGTTCCTCAGGTCAAGACATGAAAAAAAAGTAATTATGGCTCCGCCCCCTGACAAACAGGAAGCTCATTAATTTAATTGGAAAATGGAAAAATGAAAATTGATCTTTTTCACACATGTCGGCTGGAAATTATCTCCTCCTCGGTCGCTTCACCGATTTGTCTCAAAATCGCTCCACATGGTCTAAACCCATGTCCCATCTATTATTGAATATAGAATATGGATCAGTTAAACGTTGTCCGAGCAGCGGAGCGGCAAAATGTGACATTTTTTTCCCAATTTTTGACAAAAGTAAATGTGCTCCCGTTTGCACAAACAAAGCCGGATTTGCACCAAATTTTAATCCATTGTTCAGCTCCAGGGTCTAGGTCATCTGAAAGTGGAAATATTGAAATTGGCTCATTAGCGCCCCCTACAGACTATGTTAAAGTTTTACATGGGCTTTTTAAAATTTAGTTTTGTCAAAATCTTTGAGATTTTGCACATAATTCTGTTTTGTCATCTGGATTCAAAAAGTCAATGACAACATATGATTATTTTTTACCCTGTTGCCGTGGCGATGACCAACACTCCCCTGTCTGTGTCTATGAGAAAATCGTTTAAATCTCTGAAAAGTACACCTCGCTCAAACATCAAACCAGCCACGGCCGTTTTACTAATTTGTCTGAAAATCGCTCCACATGGTGTCCACACATGGACCATCAATAGTTGCATATAGAGTTTGAATTAGTCAAACGGTCTGAGTGTGACAGACTCCCAAAGTGTGGTCATTTTCATAGAGAGGTGTGAAGGTCCCATGTTATCCAATGGAGACTGTATGGACACACTCACAGATTACATGTGCTCCTGTTTGCACATTCACAAAGTCTGATTTGCACTAAACTTGACTCTGTTGTTCAACTCCTGGGCCTAGGTCACATGACTGTGTGAACAATGACATTGGCCCATTAGCGCCCCCTACAGGCTGAGTTAAGGTTTACATGGGGATACAGGTTTTTAGGTTTTATGTTGTTTGATCTCATATTTGACCCACTGAACAAATACGAAAACTCACCAAACTTTTCCACAAGTTTTTTTCAGGCATAAAGTGTATTATTTTGGTGTTCTTTGGTATAAGACTAAAAAATTGAAATTGTAGGGGGCGCTATTTTACAACATAAATGCCTTCCGTTTGCACATACAAAGTCCGATTTGCACAAAATTTTAATCCATTGTTTAGCTCCAGGGTCTAGGTCATTTGAAAGTGGAAATATTGAAAATGGCTCATTAGCGCCCCCTACAGACTATGTCAAAGTTTTACATGGGCCTAATAAAATTTTGTTTTTTCAAATTGTTTGAAATTTTGCACATAATTCTGTTTTTACATCTGGATTCAAAAAGTCAATGACAACATATGATTATTTTTTACCCTGTTGCCGTGGCAACGACAAACACTCCCCTGTCTGTGTTTATGGGTAAATCGTTAAATCTCTGAAAAGTTTCACTAATTTGTCTGAAAATCGCTCCACATGGTCCCAACACATGGACCATCAATAGTTGAATATAGAATTTGAATTAGTCAAATGGTCTGCGCGTGACAAACTCCCAAAGTGTGGTTATTTTCATAGAGAGGTGTGAAGTTCCCATGTTATCCAATGGACCCTCTATGGGCACACTCACAGATTGTATGTGTAAACAGGAGCACATTTACAAACTCTGATTTGCACTAAACTTGCCTCGGTTGTTCAACTCCTGGGCCTAGGTCACATGACAGTGTGAACAATGACATTGGCCCATTAGCGCCCCCTACAGGCTGAGTAAAGGTTTACATGGGGATACAGGTATTTAGGTTTTATTTTGTTTGATCTCATATTTGACCCACATAACAAACATAAAAAATCACCAAACTTTGCCACAAGTTTTTTTCAGGCATAAAGTCTATTATTTCGGTTTTCTTTGGTATAACACTAAAAAATTAAATTGTAGGGGGCGCGCTGTTGTACAACATTAAAGGCCACCATTTGCACATAAAAGGTCCGATTTGCACAAAATTTGATTTGATAGTCCAACTCTTGGGTTTGAGTAAACTGAACGTGTAAATCATGGAAATGCAGCATTAGGGCCCCCTACAGACTGATTCAAGTATTACATGGAGAGAATGAGGTTTACCTTTTCAAAGACACACACAATCACTGATCATAGAAATTCAAAATGCACAGTGTCGCTCCCATCAGGGCGGTAGGAAAATGGCGCGACAGCGCCACCTCCTTTGCGCGGTGCGGCGAGGGCCGTTAGATGCCGCTTGCGGCTTTAATTTGTTTTGTTTTTATTTATTTGAATGGGACAGTGTGTGTTAATGAACACCAGATTATGCCCTCAAACTCACAAACACACATCATTCACCTTTAACTATTGAGCATGTTTTTAGTGGGAGTACCCAGAGGACACTTACGCAGACACAGAGAACATGCAAACTCCAAACAGAAAGAGTCCCGAACCTTCTTGCTCAAGAAGGAGCTAACCACTGTGCCACCATGCTGCTACAGTTAGTAGGCAAGATAAAATAAACAAAATAAATGGACAAAGCTAGGTCAATTTCACTGGGACACATCCCCCACAAAGATGTTTGTGCCCCGGTGTGGAAAGAAACCAATCCAAGAGGACAGGTGTCACAGGAGGTGGAAGTGCTTTAATCAGAGAAGTTTTATAAACTTGCCGTATTTTTGTAATTATGTAACAGCACAGGAAATATCCAATCTTGTGAGATATTATTGTTTAAAAAAGTATGTGTATTTGTTCACAATACTCCAGATATTGGCATTCATTTGCATCAGTTTTGCAGATCCATGAGTTTCTACACACTCAAAATATACAGGCATAATCTAAACCGAAGGGGTTGTGCCTTAATATATCCATGGTTGTGCCCCTGTATGACTAAAGGGCTAGTGACGCCCCTGCCTCCCACTTCCGGTCCCCCTGAGCCTTGACCCTGGCCAGCATCATGCTGACCATAGACTGAGGCTGTGTGCTGCAGGCTGCAGCTGAGCAGGAGTCATGCAAACCACCAGGATACGTGTGGGCGGTGCATAGCAAAGGGCCACTCCCCCTGTCGCTGCTGTGCGGGACAAGCAGCTCGTTCCTAGGGCAGGGAGCAGTGATCAGCCCGGAGAAAGCAGCAGTGCAATTCGGATACAGCCTCAATGTGCAAAACCCCTGGAATAACCGCGTGCTGGAGAATCCACACCCGACCACCCTGGACTGCGTCTATCTGAGAAGGGACCGAGCCACGGCGCAAGCATGGCAGTGGAAGAGGAAGGACTCCGGGTATTTCAGAGCGTTAAAATAAAGATAGGTAAGAGGAAAAATCCCTACCTCCCCCTCCTCCCCCAGTTCGAGCGCTTCAATGGATCGCTCCACATTTAGGGGCCAAGCCAGCCAAGAACCCAGAACCGAGTTTGGAAGAGCAGATCTGTCTGCGTAGATCTGGTGTTTTGTCATTCAAATAACACGCTCTGCTCAGTCGGCTGAATGAGATGGAAATGTAAAGATGAAATTCTGACTCCCCCAAATAGCTTTAAGAGGAAAATGTGACATCTTGTCAACTCGCCGAGTCAATGTGAGAAAATACACATTATCGGTGAATACTGCTATTAGAATAGACTAGAATAGACCACAGTGGAGATTCTGCATATTTGATTTCCTAATTGCAAGCGATTTTAGGTTCAGGTACAATACTTAATCGTGTACGTAGGGAAAGTATGTCATCTGCATCTGCATCTGACCCATAATTCCATTTGCAACATTTCAGCAGCAGTGGTTTACAGTAGTCGCATGTTGTGGTTTGACACCAGTGAGTATTTCGCCGTGAAGAGGCCTTTGGGGCTATTGTGGAGAGGCAAATCTGTCTGTAGAGCCCATTGATCTTGACTCACATGTAGTTAGCCTCATGCATATTAATAAGCACCTCCAACTGTATCTCATGAATAGTGAATCATAACTAAAAAAGAAGGATTTAGCTGATAGAGAGCCCACATCTATTCTCATACTGTAGTACACAACACAATATTATTATAGAGTTGTGTCAATGCAATCAACTTTTCCTGTTATTGGTCTGTAGTCTTAAAATTAGTTGGAATGACACAGGCGACAGTAGCTCAGTTGGTAGAGCATTGGCCTTTGAGCCTGAAGGTCGTGGGTTCGAGCCCACCGTAAGACCTACTTCACGACTCCCACTGATGACTGCTGTTGTTGTGTCCTTGGGCAAGACACTTAACCCCACTTTGCCTGAAGCCCCCCACTGAAAGATCTCAGCTCCTGTGGACTCACCACCTGCAGGAGGATCAGTGAGAGGCTGGTGCTCAGTGTACTGGGTGGCATCTCTGGCCACCCCCCAACCCAGAAATGGATTAAGGGGAAGAAAATGGATGGATGATTCTTACTGACGTGACATGACCAGTGCTGAATGGTGTATGTTTTTAAGTGCAACACTTTGAACAAATCTATAATGCAGCAACCGTGCATTAAAGTCTTTTAACAGGATTTCTTCTCACTATAAATTGTAAATGTATGATGGAGTTTGTCCTCTTAAAATAAATATTGCATCTTTCCAATTGTATCATTATACTGATAGTGGTCCCTAATACTTGTTTGTTAAGGGCCCTGGTTGGATGTTTTTTTGACATCTGGCTGTCTGTTTATCTTGACTATGCTCTGTATTGTTTTCAGTCATAACATGCGACAGAAGGGATGAGCTGAGAGAGGGAAAATGACAACAAACACACTAGTAGTGGGCTGTGGGGAGTGTGCTGCGTGATGCCAAGATCCAGTAAATCTTTAGAACTGTTAAACTAATACTGTTTAATGAATACAAATAGTGACGAGCTGGCTTGTTGCTACTGACCTGATCCATGTGAAAATGCTTGTGACTTGAGAAGGAAGAGTGAATGAGACAGGACTTGTTAGTTTCAGTGCACTATATGAATGATGCTAGAATGCAGTTTTGTGAATGGAGCAGAAGGACCTCTCACATTCAGAAATTTAAGTGTTTGATTCAAGGCTGCGGTTGAGTCATCAGTGAGAAATATTAAATGAAACGAGGCAGAGAGACCGGATTTCACCCGCATGATATTGAGTTCAGTTATAGAGCATCATACTCTGACACTGTTTTTATTAATAATAATAAAAAATTATGCGCCTTCAATTGGCAGGACTTCATCTTCTCCATCTTCAGCGTCACAGCAGACAACAGACTCATCTAACACGTCATACGTATACACACACACACACACACACACACACATACATATACAATGTCATTGGCATATTTTATTTTTGATACAAGTATATCCTTTTAGATTATAGACATTTTTATGTCCAACAAAGTCTGTTTTGTTGCGTCATCTGCTTGTTTCCATGGCGATT